GTGAGAGAACTACTCCACACAAGAGCACCTTTGCAGACTGTCTGCTCCTCCTCAGCCCCACGTAACCCCACACAAGTAGTTGATGTGTGGAGTAGGTTCCCAGAGTTAACCAAGGTCCAATTATCATGCAGAAGAGGGACACTTTCTGTTGTTGTTTTTTAACCCAAAGTGGTGGTTTATGAATTTGCCTCTGCTGACTTTGGCTTATGGGACTTAAATACCATACATAACACACACACACACACACACACACACACAGCCTCTGCCATCAAGTCAATGCTGACTCATAGTGACCAGACAGGACAGGGCAGAACGGCCCTGAGGATTTCCAAGACGGTAGACAGGAGCAGAAAGCCCCTCTCCCTAAAGTACCATGCTCTTCATTAAAATGCAAGATGTAAATATTTCATTCTACTCCATGGGGTATCTATGTCTATTTTAGAGTGTTTTTTAATGCTAAAAATTAAGGTTAAACATTTTTAAGATTAATTTTAAACTACGTTGAATTACCTTTCATGGAGAATAATCTCTTCGTAGAACAGTGGTTCTCAACCTTCCTAATGCCACGACCCTTTAATACAGTTCCTCATGTGGTGGTGACCCCCCCAAAAAAACCCATAAAATTATTTTCATTGCTACTTTATCACTGTCATTTTATGACTGTTATGAATCGGGCGACCCCTGTGAAAGGGTCGTTTGACCCCCCAAAGGGGTCATAACCCACCGGTTGAGAACCGCTGTCCTAGAAGAAGGAGCATGCTTATCTTGTGGTTTGCCCACTCTGGCATACTACGTACTGCCATCAAGTTGGTTCCCACGTACAGCAATGTTGCACAGGGTTTCCCGACTTTCTCCCGTGGTTAACAGCCCAGTTACCCTGACATACTCTCAGACGCACTGCCATCTGGGTGATTTCAATGCACAGCGACCCTGTGGGACAGGGCTGAACTGCCCGTGTGGGTTTCCAAGACTGTCAAGGAGTAGAAAGTCTCACCTTTCTCTAAGGGAGCAGCTGGTGGTTTCGAACTGGTGGCGTGGCGACCAGCAGCCCCACTCATACCCCATTCCACCAGCATGGCTCCTGCAGAATCAGAAGTGCTCACTTCCGTCGAGGGAATGCTGCCTCCTGGTGCTCCCCTGTGAGTTTCAACACTAACTGTTTAAGGGAGGTGGACACCCAGTCTTTCTCACTCAAAGCTGCTGGTGGTTTTGAACTGCTGGCCATGCAGATCACAGCCAAACGTGTAACCACTACGCCACCAGGGCTCCATTACACACCCCAATCTTAGCTCAGCACTCTGACCTTTAGTAGTTGTACTTAGAATAACAAAAGAAAACACTGGCTCTCTACTGTTCCCAGAGAGTTCACATTTTGAATTGGGTTTTTTTATGGAGGGGGAACAAAAGGAAGTCTTAGGAGCAGTCAAATCAATGTTGCATCTGAAAGTTAACTCAGTCCCGTGCAGGCAATTCTGTGCTGTGTTGTGGTTCCTTCTGTTGAAATTATCCCCATCTTGTAGCACAAAACCTAAGCCCTCAAATCAAAGCATGCCATTTATGACAGTTCGGTTGAACATATAAAACCCAGTTTACATACCTAGATTGTATTGCAGAAGCCCTTCAAGAAGTAGGTCGTCCGAGTCTCAAGTATAAATGTGGACATTTTAAGACACTGTAACAACATGACTGTTGTTTCATTGGGTGTTTGGTGAGGCTAAGTTTTGACTGTGTGTTGGAACTATCTGTTGGCATCTGAAACTTCATAGGGCAGTGAAGAGAAATGTTGTAGGCAGATGGTAAAATGGATTGGGTACGGTACCATATGTAAGCTCAGCGAAGTTAATTTACGATGAATTGTTTGAAAATAGCTAAAATACAATTTACAGCCAAATATAAAAATGCAGCTGGCAGAGTTGGCCAGCAATACAAAAGGATTCATGCTCTCTAGGTAAGGGGTAAACAGCTCATAGATTGTTTTGAACCTGTCGTGATGTGGATTTAGGAAACGCTCCCTAGCGCCACGAGAAGAGAACACGTTTGAATGTTACTAACAAGAGAAGAGCATTGAGAGAGGACCACAGAGCCTTCCTCTGCTCGCTCTGCCTCCAGATCCTGCAGGTGCCGGGCGAGTTTGTCAGGCATCTGGCTGATGTTTACTATTGTGGGTTTGACAGGGTTCAAGGAACACCTGCAGGGCCTGAAGTCTTTGTCACCAAATTGCTGGCCAGGGAGGCCAGACCTTCCATTGGACAAGAAATACTTAAAACCCATACTATAATATGAGAATGTAGAGTCGTCAAAAATTAAAGTTTTCATAGAGCCATATATATGTTAAGTCAAAGCTAGCAGTATGAACCCTAGAGGCTACCCACGGGAAGAGCAGAGCCTCTGCTTGTGAGCCGTCTTTGAGGGAACTTTGAGGATGGGTGGGCTTCCTGTGGGTCAAAAGAAAAAGGCCCTTCTGAGAAGGAAAATGAATGTAGGGGAAGTATGTCCTGCGGGTCTGTTTTCCAGTAAAAACGACAGGCCCAGAGAAGAACCTGCTCAGACTCTGAAGAGCCTTTGAGGCGCCATGATGATGTCTTGGCTACAGGTTGGGGGGCCAACGGCCAAACCACCAGCTGTTGACTGGACTTTGCTCCCACAGTTACCTTCTCGGAAACCCACAGGGCGATCCGCCCTGTCGGAGAGGGCCACCCAAAGTCGGCATCGAGTGAGTTTGGTGTGGGTTGTTGTTATTTAAGAACCTTAAGACAAGCCAGAAGACGCTCTTATGTTGCTGTGGTCAGTTTTCAAGATTGGGACTGGCCTGTCTAACAAACACCTTTCTCAACATCTCACCCCAAAATGCACTGCCAGGGAGTGGATTCGGACTCCCAGCCCCCCTCCAGGCCAGAGCAGAACCGCCCCTGTAGGTTTCCGAGATTGAAATTTTTCCAGGAGGGGGAAGCCGCCTTGTTCACTCAAGGTGCGGCTGGTGGGTGGTCCCGCTGCGCTGGTGCCTAACAGCCCGTGCCTGGCCCACCACGCTATCACACCGCTCGGCACTGAGTTCAGGTGACTTAGCATCTGTTGTTGTTTCAGATTCATGACAGATGCCGCCCGCCGAGAGCAGGAGTCCCTGAAAAAGAAGATTCAGCCGAAGCTCTCGCTGACCCTGTCCAGCTCAGTGTCTCGAGGGAATGTGTCCACGCCGCCCCGCCACAGCAGTGGAAGCCTTACTCCCCCCGTGACCCCGCCCATCACGCCCTCCTCGTCATTCCGCAGCAGCACCCCAACAGGTGAGCCAGGGGCTTACCCCCTCGAAGAGCTGTGCGCGTGCGCGTGTGCCCACAGGCCTACCCGCTCGTGCAGACCTGGGCTGGGGGTGGAAGGAGCAGCTGATGATTCGCGCCCACTTCTTCTCTGACCTTCTCGGGCCTCTAGGGAATAGTGACTCACCGTCTTTGATCGATGCCGGTACTAGTCACTGCTCCGGGTTATGAAGTATGCGATGGCTTCATCGATCATTTCTAAAGCCCTTCAGAATGTGTGACAGGTGGATGGAAGTGTCTTCCGTCGGAGAGGGTGTGTGTGGGGGTGGGGGTGGGCAAGGGAAATTATCCAGGCATACGTCAATTTGTCTCAGAGTTATGATTGGGTGTCCAGATGGTTTCATTATGTATTTCTATTTTTACATCTCTTTAAACTGTCCATAGTAAGATGATTTCTGAAAGAAAACCAAAAAGCAGAGTGCCCTGCTTTGTGCCAGGCGCTCTGTCAAACACTGAGCGAGAGCCCTGAGCAAAAAGCAGCCGACTGTTCTCCCTGATGCCGTGAGCCATCACGTCATTGTACTTCCCTGGGCAGCAGCGAGTGGGCGCAGCTGGAAAGAGCCCTCTTTGACTCATGTGAACAGCAGTTAACCCGTCCCCCATCACACACCCAGTCCCAAGTAGAACCCTGTTATTATTGGTATGTAATCTGGAGTGACAGAGTGGAACTGCCGGAAGTAGGGTTTTCTGGGCTGTCATCACTGTGAGAGTTGATGGTTAGGTTTTTGTCCCACAGGGCACAGCAATGACTTCACACGGCCAACTCTTCAGATAGCAAGGAAAGCACTTAGCATTGCACTCCAGATCTCCTTGGAAGGAGCAAATTCAACCCACGGCCCTTGAGTCAATTCTGACTCATAGTGCCCCTACCTAGGGTTTCCAAGGCTGTACATCTTCACAGCACAGGCAGCCTCAGCTTTTCTCCTGCAGAGCAGCCAATGGTTTTGAACCACTAACCTTGCAGTCAGAAGCCCCAACACTTTGGGTAGAGGCAAAGATAGGCATTAATCAGATGACTACTCAAATTAATAGAAGCTTGTAACCATAACAAATACTACATAGAAGGGAGAGAAGCATCCAGAGAGAGGTTTGACTCCCACCAGGAAAGCCTTTTCCTGAAGGATAAATAGGAGTCAGGTAGGTAAAGAGGGAGGGAGGAGCCTTCCAGAAAGGGAGCAGAATTTGCAAAGCGTGTGTGCCCTAGCATGTACAATGGAGCTGAGGACATAGGCAGGACCAGGTCATGCAGTGCCTTGTGGGCCGTATTAAAAATTTTTGTTGTCTGTTCTGTGAGCCAAGAACCAAGCTTATGGGACATCAAGTCAATTCTGACTCACAGCAACCTGATAGGACGGGCAGTACTGCCCCTGTCGGTTTCCAAGACTGCAACTCTTCACAGGAGCTCTAAAAAGTTCCCACTCGGAGCTGCTAGTGATTTCAGACAGCTAACCTTCCAACCTCACCACTACCCCAACCAGGGCTGTGAGCACAGGAAAGTCAGCCACTCGTGATTGCACACAGCTCCTTACGGTCACTCTCTAGGCTAGATGAAAGGGCTCCTTTTCTCTCGCCGTCTGTGTATGTCTCTTTCACCCATCTCCCATCAAGGGGGGTGGCTACGATAGCATTTTCTCCAAAGGTGTTTTCAGAAACATTAACTTCATAAATGATAAGCCGTGTTAAGGAGAAAAGGGATTCCCAAAGAACTTTGGGGAAATGATGAGTTAAAGAAAGTTAAGCTAGTCTCTTCAGTGCTGCGATCTCCAAGCCTTGATATTGATTATAATCAATGTAGGGTTTTTTATAATAACTCCAAGGAGGGGATTTATGAACTTTCCCAAGCTCTGTGGCTTTGGTGGTGGTTGTCGCTAGGGGCTGTCCCGTTCTGACCAACAGTGAGCCCGTGTGCAACACACAGGACACACTCCCTGACCTGGCACCATTGGTCTTCACCATGATGGTTTGCTTGAGCCCCTTGTTGCTGCTACTGTTGCATCTTGTTAAGGATCTTCCTCTGTTTTTTTTTGCTGACCCTCCAATATACCAAGCATGATGTCCTTGTCCCTCCTGATAACACGTCCACAGTCGATGAGACAGTCTCCCTATCCTGCTTCTAAGGAGCATGCTGGCTGACTTGCTCCACGAGAGTGTTCATTCTTCGGGCGTTCCATGGCATTCTCAGTGTTCCCTCCCAACATCATAATTCAAAAGCACCGGTCCTTCCTGCCCAGCCTGATGCCCCCGCCAGCTTTTGTGTGCAGGTGAATCTATTTTAAATGCCTTGGCTTGAGTCAGGCACATCTTACTCCTCAGAATGGTGTTTCTGCTTTTTAACACCTTCAAGAGATCTTTTGTAGCTAATTTGCCCAAATGGAATGTGTCATTGGATTTCTTTTCTTTTTTGTTGACTTTACAATTGTCTTATTAAGACATTATGTAGGGTTTTTTTTAAATCATTTTACTGGAGGCTTATACAGCTCTTTTCACAATCCATACATGCATCCATATTATCAAGCACATTTGTACATTGTTGCCATTTGTACATTGTACATCATCATTTTCAAAACATTTTCTTTCTACTTGAGCCCTTGGTATCAGCTCCTTGTTTTTGGTCCTCCACCCTCCCTCCTTCCCAAACCCTTATTGATAATTTTTTTCTCATGTCTTACACCAGTGTCTCCCTTCACCCGCTTTTCTGTTTCCCCCAGGGAGGGGATCATAGGTAGATCATTGTGATTGGTTCCCCCTGTCTCACCCTACCTTCCCCTTCCCCTCCTGATATCACTCCTCTCATTATTGGTCCTGAGGGGTTTATCTGCCCTGGATTCCCTATTTCCATCTCTTATCTGTACCCGTGTACCTGCTCTGTCTAGCCTGATTTGTAAAGTGGAATTGGGGTCGTGACAGTGGGCGGAAGGAAGCATTAAAGAACTTGAGGAAAGTTGTATGTTTCATCAGTGCTATACTGCACCCTGACTGGCTCGTCTCTTCCTGTGACCCTTCTGTAAGGGGGTGTCCAATTGTCTACAGATGGGCTTGGGGGTCTCCACTCCTCCCTCCCCTCATTCCTATTGATAAGACTTTTTGATTCTGGGTCTTTAATGCCTGATACCTGATCCCATGGAGAACTCGTGGCTTCTTCCAAGTTCATTTGATTTCTTAACTGCCGCTTCCATGGCGCTATTTGCTGCTCCAAGTAACATGAAATTCTTGACAATTTCAATATGTCTTCCTTTATCTTGGTGTTGCGTATTGGTCCGGTTATGAAGACTTTTATTGTCTTTACGTTGAAGTGTAATCCTATAGTCTTTGATCTTCGCCAGGAAGTACTTCAAGTTCTCATTTCTTTTAACAACCAAGGTGTGTCAGTGTGTCATCTGCATATTACAGGTAGCTAATGAGTCTTCCCCCAATCCTGGGGCAACGTTTTTCTTCATATACTCTAGCTTCCCGGGTGATCTGCTCAGCATGCACAGATCAAATAATTATGGCAAAAGGATGCACCCCTGATGTACACCTTTGCTGATATCGAACCACTCAGAGGACACCTTTTTGACAGATGCCATGTGTTCAGTTAAGAACTGGGCTGTTTTGACGATAGGATCGGGTTAGTGGAGGGGGGCAGGCAGACCACAGTTCATCCTGCACTTTGACCTTTACAAAGAACATTATCTTGGACAAGTCACTAACTAATCAGACCCACTCTTTGGGTGAGAGTGAGCTGTGTTAGCACATGCGTGCATCGAGCCTTCAACAAATGTGTAGCTGTTTTTTTCTGGAGTTTCTAACTAGGAACTTTAGGACAGGATCTAAGGTCCCTCTTCTGAAAAGGATGGTCCTTTGTCTTGAGCACTTGTCCATATCATTAATGGTCTGCCAAACCCCTGCCATCGAGGGGACGCGACTCATAACGACCTTATAGGACAGGGAGAACTGCTCCTGTGAGTGTCGGGGACAGTTAACTCTTTACAGGAATAGAAAACTCCCGTCTTTCTTCCAAGAAGTGACTGGTGGTTTGGAACTGCTGGCCTTGTGGACCCCAGCCCCTAATGCTTACCCACTGCACCACCAGGGGTCCTGAGAGGGTCTCCCGGGATTCCATGCTAGTTAGTCGGTGAAGATCTTTGTGTACCGTACATGTCAATCTAAGCAGTGAAAGAAGATATTGCTGTGGGACTGTGATGTGCATGGATTGTTGTCATTAAATTCATCGACAGTGTGCACCAGGGTGAGTTTTATACCTGAGGAGAGGTAGCCTGACTGGGGTGCTACAACAGAGAGCCATGACTGCCCCAATCAGCACAGTCATGGGTGCCTCAAAAGCTCTGAAAACGAAGACAGTCCAAGTGTGAGAGTTTATTAATTTTCATGTAAGAAAATGTGAAAGAAATGGACTATTTCCTTTCCTTCAGACACAGAGAAATCTTTCTGGCACCTGGTCTATTTTAGCAATTTTCCCACCCAGAGAACTAATTTATGTTGTGGTAAAGATGGATCACTTTCAATCTGTCGAGGTCATTGGTAAATTATTTGCTGCTTGAAAAGCATTTTCTATAAACATCCAAAGTTAGCCAGGGAAATGGCTTCTTAAGCCCATTAGCCTGTACAATTTTGCTTGGGTACGTTTTTCAGTGTTTGGAATGTTATTTTACGTGGAGTTAGAGAGATCAGCTTCTTTTCCCCGGCTAACGCTGTTTCAGTCACTTTCCTTGCCAGGTGATAAATAATATTCCACATTTCCACCTCCTAAATTCACTCTGCCTAGCTCTATAGTTAAACTCTGTTTCTAGTTCAGAAGTAATAGTCACTGAGGAGCAAACTTCATTTATCAAACATTCTATGAACTAGACTCTCTTTGCCATACCGAATTAGAGGTCAGCTTCATTTCAGAGATGCAAGTATTTATGAAGATAGCCAGGTACACGTCGCTTAATGCATGTTGTAGCAGCACCCTACCAGGTATACCT